GTTCTGTAGCTATAGTTGCATAATGAAATCTTGCAGAAGGTGGCAGGATCAATTTTCTGGGCTTTGTCATTACACGTGAACAAGGTGTTTAATTGTTTGAGGAAGATCTTGTTTTATTCATTTGGTTCGTTACTTTTGTTGAAATGAAAACTGTATCTGAAAATTAACTTCAGCATTCTAAAGATTAGACAAATTAGGCTGCCAGATCATCCCCTCCCACCCCATCCAAAAAAAAGGGAGAAGGTGGGGAGAAAGGATTAAGTTTATACAGGTATGTGTAAATCTGTAGAATGACATGCATTGCCTAAAGGGAGAATGTTTTGTGGACTCATATAGTTGATTAATGGAAATGCAGTGCTAATAAAGATATGAATTTAGGTTTCTTTATTACAAAGAGTCTGTTTTTAAGAGTTCAGGATAGATATAACTCTCGTCAGAGTTATACAAAGAACTCTCTGGCTTCTCAAATGTGCACCATTTTTCTCTTTTAACTTTGGCATATCTCATTGCAAACATTTCAATGAATGATCAAAAGGGGAAGGAAAATTTCATGGTTGTAAGGCATGTGGTGCCATGATGTGGTTGGTGTACCCTTAAAATAACACATCGTGGGCCCCAGGATTAAGTTCAATACAAGTATCAAAGTACGTGCCTTTCAGAAATGTCATACGCCCATTGATCTTTAGTGTATAGAGATTATATGACACAGGTACAACAGGTCTTTATCAGGGCAGCTGCAGCATGTGGTATTCTGGCAGTATGTGCACTTTCCAGTAAATTCATGGTGTAGGGCAGCTGCAGTTTTTTAAGGACAGTGTACTTCTCTTCCAAATGTCATCGGTCATATCTAGAGCTGCTTCACTACTGCTTCTAAGGCATAGAGCGCCATAAATAATAAAAATAAATGTACTTAGGCAAGCCTATAGAGATACGTCTGACCTTGTTGGACATGTTTTGTGTTCAATCTGTTCCAGATTGTTTCATATTTTCAAATTAATACAGGGCATGTTTAATAATAAAAAATAAATAAATAAACCTAAGCAAATATGTAAGGTGTTTAAAAAAAAAAACTAAAAAGAAAAGAAAACTTTAGCAGTTCTGTATCAGAGAACTTACAAGAGTGTATTTGTGTATTTTAAGAGACAGGATTTAACCATTTCCATTGCTCTGAAAAAATTATGTCCTAGCCTTTCTGCAAAGAGGTTGTATAGACCCTTCTATGGCATTGTATAAATTTCATCTTACATTGAGCAGCCATGGTGCATATCTTCCATCCAGCTTGAGTGACCCAGGTGCAGTGATCCAGCCAGTCTATGACTCAGGTCATACATCTGCCTCGTGTGGGTGCCATACTCCTCAAGGGAAAATCAGAGTCAGTCCTTCTGGGAGCAAGATGTAATCTGTATGCTCTAGAGGTGGGTGTAGCTCCTGCCATCTAGTAAGCACAGCAGAATGAAATTATAAATGAAATGTAAATATCAAAATAAAGGAAAAAAATTACATGCAGAACTGTTACTGTTCCTTTATGTTATCCATCAATTAAAAGGAGAATTTTTATTATTTAATGTATTGGGAATAATTTTTATAAAGACTCAAAATGTTACTGAAGGTTGATGCAGTAGTTTTGAGGAATAGTTTTGGAACAGTTTGAGTATCTTAGAGATAGAGATCCAAGTTCACATAGTTTTTTAATAATTTATAAAACCTGAACCAAATCATGACATGTTGATATTTACATTCTAATGCTGTTATGTTGTACGTATAATCCATTCAGAACTGATCTCACATTTTCTGAAAATGCTTTTCAGTACAAGCTGTATGTAAAGGAATAAGAAAATCCAAATCACCACTGTCCTCTGCAGGTTGAGGACAGGTATAGTGCTAGGTACAGTGCTAATTTTATTGAGGCTTTTCCCTTGTGTTTGTTCTTCCCCATCTACTGTGGAGATAGTGTTTACTTTTCTAAATTTGCACTATAATGTGCAGTTGTTGCACATCAGTTTGTGCCTAAGGAGAAACCTTGATGTTTGAGTATAGTTGATCAAGTGCAAGCTACTATTTCAGATGGGATTATATGTCTTTTAACTGTTTACATAACCCTGGATATGAGTCACGCTTAAAAAAACGATTAAAAAAAATCTATTTTGAAATTCATAGGCTTTTGTAGACTCCAGTTATATAAGACTCTTCCTCTGAGTGAGTTTTAGAGGAATTGAAAAATTGCTACCACATTCCTGCAGGCAAGGTGCTGATCCTTCCATGTGTCCTGTACAGGATGGTATTTGAGAAGAAAAATTATTAGCTTTGCCATGCTCCAAATTAAAGCCTCGTCTCCTAAAATAATCTCTTCCCACTGCCACCGCTTCCTGTTACTCGCTTCAATTCTATATGCTTTTCAGCTGTACTGACCTTACTGGTTGTGTGGGTGCTGGCCTCAGCTCCAGCACCTCTGGGATACTGAAATGGTGGGGGAAGGATACTGTAAATAAGCCAGTGCATTTGTAGTAGAGTTATTAGTACCTTTAAGGATTATTCTGCTACGTCAGGATTATATTTTACTCAATATTGCAGTATCCCCTGCCTTAGATCACTTCTTGCCTGGAGGGAGGATCCTTAGCTGACCTCCGAAATCTGCGTTAAGTCCCTTTGGACTTAAGGAAGAAATGCCAGTGGGATTTAGGATGGTGATTGGTCTGTGATGCTGCAGGGGGCCACATGCTGAAAAACACTAGTTCAAACTGATGTTTTGCAATGGAGAGCTGAGATAAATATAGCTGATTAATGTACAGAGTTTAGAAACTAGGTACAAATTTTCTTTTGTTGCCAAGCTGGAAAAAAGTCCTGTGAAATGAAAGACCATCTCTTCAGGTGCAGTGGACATTGATGTGGCAGTAACTAAAAGCTTCCATTATTCTTCCATTTGAGTAGTGGCATTTTATGGAGCATATTTTCATAAGCTGTTCTTCATATAACTTGAGATGAGTGTGTGGTTGCAGGCAGGTGTGCTATAGTTAATGGTTCAGTCGCATCTCACATCCACTAATGAATATTTTTGCATGACTGCCAGTTAATTTGAAACTACTGAGAAACCAGAAAGACTATCTAACCTAAAAGCTGCTGCTGAAATGATCAGAAATATTTCAGATATATGTGGGACTCTTTAATTTTCTTTTTGGGTACAGCAGCATCCTTTTTTAACTAGTCAGTGAGAAACTTGAAGAAGGAATAATTCATGTTATTAGTTTATAAATAAGCAGCAAGTAATCATATTTTTATGAATGTTTGAAAGCAATTTGCTGCTCTTGTTTGCTTGGAAAAATTTTAAACTCAAGTTTCTGAAATGGCTAGCAAACAAAAATCTGTTTCTGTAAGATGTACATCAGATGTACCTCGAATGACACTTGAAATTCTAAGGGAGTTGTCGAAGTTGACAATTACAGAAAAATGTGTGCAGTACTGCAGATTACATTTAACTTTCTATGAAATGAATGGGGCGAATATCATTATATGAAAATTACTACTAAAACAGCAACTCAACTGTTGTATGAGCAGGCTTTTAAGTAGACATAGCTGTCTTTTAGTCATTTTGACAGTGACGAGCTAAAGATGTTATTTTTTAAAAAACGATGTAGTACTTCATGGAACAATCTGTGTGCCAGCTTCATCGTGATAACAGGATGCTACATGATTGCCATTCGGATTCAAAGGTCTCAAGGAAACTGAAAAGCACGAATTTTAAAATTCCCAACGGTGACGGTGGCATCCTGTCTCCTTTTTCTGGACTTCTCTAACATTTCAGACTCTTTGCATGGACTTTCAGATTTTCTCATGAGTTTCTAATCCAGTTTAAGACTGTGATTTTCAGAGAGTATATTTTTTCATACGTTTGAAAGTGAGGTGCATTGAAAAACATGAAACCCTTTCATCTACTAAATGTTTTTGTTTAAGTTAATGTCCTCTGATATTTAGGAAATTGTCTGTACATTTGCTTTAAAGGAGTTGATTGATTATCAGAACTTTTCTACTTACAGAGTTCTTTAGCTAGGACTATGAGTAGTCAGAGAAATTCCAGCTATGTTGCAAGAGCACATTTCTGAGATATTTTACAGCTACAGTGATATATACAGTAAACAAGCAAAGTAGAATAGGTTTGTGCCTTCAGAATAATTAAATATTTGAATTTCTGTTGATGTGACATTCTTACTGGTGTTTTGCAGTAAGTTGTCTCTCAATTTTGCTAGGGTGGCTAAAGTATGAAAAGAAAAGGTAGCTGAAATTAGTAGTAGTTTGTGATTAATGCTGATTGTCTGTTTTTTTTTCTGAAGCAGGTTGTAAGCACCATATTTAATTGGATTTAGAGACGTCAGTTGAGAAGCTTAGTGCTGTGTGTGCCATGGACAGGTGGCTGCCTGAGGCAGGTGATTGCTTAAATATTCTGGGCTGTGAGACATCTGCATGAGCAGATCCCACATAGCTAGGTCTGTGTGGGATCTCTCACTGCCATTTTTCAGTTCGTTTCAAAAATACAGAAGATATTTGATGACAACAGGTGGAATTACAGACTTTTCATATCCTAGTGTTAAAAGCTTTAAATCATAATTCAGTGAGACTGATGCATATAGCCTAGTCCATAGAGCTGTTTTGTTCTGTATCACAGAATTTTGAAATGACACTGAAATCAGTGCAATTGACAGCCTCGTGTTTGTAGAGCAAGCTGGGAGACTGCCACAGGGGCACTGGGGGCTCTGGCTGACACTGCTCAGCAGTTCTTGTTAGGAACCAAACACAGGTCTTGTACAACTCTAATAGTGGTGTTAATACAATTGAATCTGGATCTCTTTACAAAGAGTTTATTTTTCGGGCAGCAACTCTCTAATGTGAAGCCTATAACTTTGATTTTTGTCTTGGCAAGCAATTGGAGAACAACTATGCCATTTGAGATCACGTAACTCCCTTTCTCTTTGTAATCACTCTTGGATCTTGTTTTTATTTTTCCCCAGACTGGAGCAAACGCATTGAGTACAGGCCTGGTTCTGGCAGCATCCCTTTGTTTCCCAGCATTCATCTGGAAACCTGCGACGGACCCGTTTCCTCCATGCACACCACCATCGAACTGCAGACCAACTCCATTGGGAAGGGCTGTGACCGTGAGACGTACTCTGAAAAATCTCTGCAGAAGCTATGTGGTATGACTTTCAGTTGCTATAATAATTATATTTTTCAATATATGGATTTTGGACACCCAGATCATAGGGAATTGTAGCTATAAAAATAAATGGGGTGGTATTTGACTAGTGCTCTATGCGTGTTTTCCTTTTGTTTTCACTCTTGTCAGTCCTTTCTACTTACTTTCATTTTTTATTGTCTTCATTTTTCCATTTTTCGTCTTTTTCTTCATCTCACTGCTTTCTTACTCTTTCTTTCCTCTGTTACTACTAATTGTTCTGGCAGCATATTGAGATATAGATTGGCATCTTGCTCTGGATGCTGTACAAAATAACACCAACATATTAGGGAGACTCTGCTTTCTGTTCACCTGATAAACACTGTGCCAGAGCTGAAACAGCAAAATAAAGGAACATTTGTGACAATCATTTGAGCAAAGACATTAAAGAAACATTTGAATTTCAAAAAAGCGATATTCCAGAGGAGAAATGTTTCCAAATTATTTTCTTCCCTTTTCTCACCTACTGATAACTTGGTTTCAAAGATAACAAATTTGTTTTGACAGAGAAATTAAATACCTTAGGATACTGCTGTATTTTCGTGACTTTATGCATGCTTGTTGTAAAAGTATGACCACAGGCTAAGCCATGTGTCTCTTGCCTTTTGAGATCTGCTTTCTCTCTTCCTCCTCCAAAATCCTGTCTTACTAAAGTCCTCATTTGAAGCACTAACAGTATGATTTCCCATCTTCTCCAAAGTGTCTCTATTCCAGGCTCCTGTTTAAGCTGAAATGGCAAATGTACCCCGTGCTATCAAAAGGCAATGCTTTCTTTCCATTTAAATTCATGGCTTTTGGCTTTTTGTGCTTTGCTATTTGGCTTACGTTTGTTTTGATAACCACACTACAGAGCTGCAGAGATGTTAATACACAATGCCCTTTAAGAAAAAGATGTTGTACATTAATATTTGACCAAATAAGGAAAAACGGAAGGCCAATTCCCAAGGAAAAATAGCTTACAATTAAGATTCTGTAAATATATGCCAATTACCTGCAGAGACTGAGGAGAGGAAAGTAAGGTAAAGGTAAGGGAGTATAGTAGAGTTCTCATAAAATCTCAATATTCTCAACCCCAAAATTGCATAGTAAAGAAAACCAGACAAAAAAAAAACCATAATTTTACTCCTGTATCTCCATCCATCTGACATGCATCCGAGAAGACAGGTCCAACGGTGCTGTTGTGCTTGTTGCAGGCAGTGCTTGGGCAGATGGTAGTGTCTGACAATATTGCTGAACTGTCAGTTTTTGCTCAGCACATCCATGAAGAATGGAATATAAAACACTTGAGAAAACAGAGTGAAGAGTGTGTATGTAAATCAGGATAGGAACAAAGGTCATAAATGATAATGAGCTGTACACTAGAGTTTCATCTGGGCAGGTTTACACTGTGGTATTTAGTATTTGCTGCTATCCTTTAGAGAGAGCCCTTAGGAAAGCAGGTTAAGTTATTTCTGGAAAGCATTTTTCTCCCAGTAGTGGCCTTATTGTGTTGTAATGGTTGAATGAATAAATTCTTTCAAAGGAAGAAAACCCTGTTTTTTTCTTACGAGTTGAGGCACTGCGTGATTGTAGAGTGCAGAACTGAGCGATCACAGACTCACAGTGATCACTTGTGCTATCTGAACTGCAGGATTCTCTCTTGCATTAAGGACCCAGTTCATAAATTATAAGGTCACTTCTTAATTTATCAGTTGGAAATCCACATAATTCATATGCATTAAGGCTCATCTTTTATTTGACTGATGGTTTAACTCTAGCTTTCAATAACCCGGGGACTTGTACCCACTTTGACAGTGGAGGTAGGCAGTATAACTTAGGCAGGCAGAAAACAGGTCTTCAGCTTAAATGATCCAGGTATGTTTCTTACATCATTTTAAAATGAATGATTTATTAGTCTTGTTTCTTTAGTAGGCATTTTTTCACTTTATCATCCAACAATAATAAAAAGTACAAGAACATAAAGAAGACACAGTTTGGACTCTGAAAAACAAATCTCCACCTGAACATGGTGGAAAGGTAATTGTAGTGCTGTCGTCTTTCACTCTAAATATTGATAACAGTTAAAATAATGGAATAGCTAATATTCATACTTGCAAACAGTTTCCTTAAATCTGTGCAGGCAGAGGGCCAGCTCCAAGGCCATGCGCTAACAGAAAGGGGAGACCCTGCCCTTTCTCCTAGGTTGTGCAGCTTTGAAGCAGGCTCCAAGAAATTCTTGCAACCTGCTGGTCTGATGGAAATGCAACATTTTGCCTTGGTTTTACAGTTCTTACAGGACTGGTTGCCCTCTGGGCAGGTCAGCGGTCTGATCCGTTTCAGCAAGTGCCTCAGTACGTGCTTCAGCTGGCACAAGGTTTGCAGATACGTGGCTTGGGGAGCAGAGATGGGACCATTGCTTTCAGCTGCCTGTGAAACCAGACGCTTAGATACATAAAGTGCACCTCACTGTGCCATGTCCAACACTGCATGTGTATGCTGTGGCTCCCAAAAATACCTCATTAATCTGAAAGCATCTTAGGAGAAAATGGTGTGAACCGTTCAGTCCGGGAAGGGCACTAAGCCAGGAGAGAGATTTGGCTGTCTGGGAACGCCTCCAGACACGGCCTGTTCTGCAGCTCTGTGTGCATACGAGACTGACATGGCTGAGCAGCTTGGGATGTTGGTTGGATTTATTAAAGTGGAAACGCTGTGATTTCTTCCAGCAAAATGTCCTTGAGCACATAATCCGGTGGTTGTTTTCAGAGCAGGATTAACATCCGCTAACAGGATGATTCCATAGTGACCCATAAATGTCCATAAAAGCATGGGTGTGTAAAAGAGAACCTGTTGAATTTGGTACTGGTACCCAAATGCTCTTACCCAAGCCTGGCCATAAGCAGAGAAGGTATGGGCATTTGCTGAAGCAACCTTAATTTTTAAACTCTAATTCCAGACAATACACTAGGCTGCATTGTCTCAAAACTAACTACAATTTGTCTTTGTGCTTAAGTTCCAAACACAGAGTTGTTTGATATATTACTGTCACTTCAAAACAACCTCATTAAAATTTTTTTAAAAACTGTTTAAGAAGTTCTGTTACTGAATGATATGAATGTTTTAATATTATTACTGGAGTATAACACTATAAAAGATGCATAGTCCCACAGATCATTAGCATAAAATTAAACACTCCTGCAGAGGGCTGGGATCCTTTTTCTCGGGTTGGATACTGCAGGAGGCTGGGACATGTTACTAGCTTGGGATTTTTTTCATTCAGTTTGAGTTTGTCCACCATGTTCTTACCTTTCAAAGTATCATCAAGAATAAACAAAATCTGTTTTTGCCTTTTTTACTCTGTCAAGCCTGCTTTCTGCTAAATGCTACCTCTCAGTGGCTATGTAAAGAGTCTAACTGCATAGCTGTTTTTAAAAATGCCTGACAATTGTTAAGCTGCTAGAAAATACAGATCTTCCTTAATCATGGAGTTCTAAAGAACTGTACTCTTTTATCGAATCTAGACATCATGCTGTTTTTCATTTCTTTTTTTTTTTTTTCTTCAAATTTATTCTAACAAATGTGTGTGCTGTGGCTAGGAACAGCTTTGTTAATGATTCCCGTTTTAGAGAAGGGCTAATCTGAGTTGTGAATGTCACTTAAAAGTCTTATATCTATCTTTAGACAAAGACACCTGGCGTTACAACCATCATGCACCTGTCACAAGCCAGCATTAAAGTGATATTACCTATTTTTAGGATGAATACTATTTACAAATGTAGAGACATTCATATGAATATTATTGCAAAGATCTGAGACTGACTGTTGGACTCTTGTCCTACATTTACGTCTGCTCTACAGTATTCTGCAAGACACCATCTGCACGTGCAGTGTATCTCCAGGCTGATGAGGAAGGCATATTCCCAGATGGAGGAACAGACTTGGTTTTAGTCTTAGGAGTTCTTTAAATACCTGACTGGAAGTGAAAACATTTAATCTACAGAGCCCTTACTGGTTTATTATGGTCAGTGCTATATAAAGGTATATATAATTTGGTAGTGAATCTAGTAGGATCATTTGCATAGTAAAAATTAATTAACAGGAAGGTGTGAAGCAGGTCCTTGGCCTATTTATTTGCACTTTGTTTAGTCTCTCATTTTATTCATTATCTGTCATTTATAGGAGCCTCTTCAGGTGCCATTGACCTGTTGCCGTCTCCTAGTGCAACGACTAACTGGACAGCTGGGCTTCTCATGGACAACAATGACATGATTTTTAAATTTGATGGAAAGCAAGGAGCCAAAATTCCAGACGGAATAGTTCCAAAGAATTTAACTGATCAGTTCACCATCACCATGTGGATGAAACATGGACCTAGCCCAGGATTAAGAGCTGAGAAAGAGACTATTCTCTGCAATTCTGATAAGACAGGTGAGTGTGTGCTTTATTTTAGAACTGTTTGGCAAAGGGCGTAAGAAATTTGATAGAGTGTTAGCGTTTTTTTCTTCAGTTAATGTACTTTGAAAGAAGGTTGCAAAGCAGGGATGCTGCCTGTCTGCATGTTGCTGACTCACAGCTTCTTGAGGAGACTTTTGTCTACCTAAGTTTCAAGCACTATATCTCATCTTGGATAATTTCTGAAATCCCATCTATGGCTTTTGAAGGAATTGGTTGACAAATTCATTTTTTTTATGATTTAGGTTGGGGAAATCTAATTCTGTCTGTGTGTCTGTCTGTCTCTTTTAGGTATATATTGCTTTGAAACACTAAATACAAGTGTGGTGGTAGTTTCATGCACTGATCTTACTGTTCCACTGTCTTTAGAGATGAACCGACACCACTACGCGCTGTATGTGCACAACTGCCGGTTGGTGTTTCTGCTGAGGAAGGATTTTGACCAGGCGGACACCTTCCGTCCTGCAGAGTTCCACTGGAAACTGGACCAGGTACTTGAGCTTTGCTGTTGCCTGTAATCCATCTGTACCTAAACTGTCTCTTTACCCGATTAGAAATTGCAGGAAATAGCACTACTGTAGATGAACAATTTTGAAGAAATTCAAAATACTAGTGTTGTGGTTTTGTAAAACCAAAAGTCTGTTACAATTATGGTGCAGCTCGTAACACTTGTGACTAATAGGGAACCACAGAAAAAGAGTTAAATGAGTTGAGTCAATTAATACAGATTTTTAGTGCAGTCATTTTATACCATAAGTAGAGGTTTGCACTCATTGGCATGGGAGAACCTAGAGAAATGACATTGCATATAGTTCCCTTAAAGTTTTCCATATATCTTTTTAAAAAAACTACTTTATCAGCACAGTGGAAGTGATAAAAGCCTTTTCAATAAAGAGTATGCTGACATAGAGAAAGGCATTTTTAATATATTTTAAGTCTAATCTGTAGACGTTCACTTTCATCTGCTGTGCTGTATGTGATTTCTCCTTATAATGAAGAATATATTGCAGGGAAATTATTATTAAAGAGATAAGGGTTGCCTTTCATAGATTTATTAGTTCTAAGCAGGATAAGGATCACTTGGATGAAAGAAGACAGATTTCAGCCAAGTAGTATTTTCTCAAATAAGGTTTTTTTCACGTCTTCGAGCCTGAACTATGTTTGAAGACATAGATATTATGGGAATGGTTGTTACCCTAATTAACTTTCAAAATTTATACAAAAAGATAATCTCTGTCCTGATTATCAAAATTCTTGTGATGATAAACTATGTGATAGTCATAGCACATGCTTTTCATTTCCATCAACGTTTGCAGTCAATATCTCCTATACTTGAAATCTTACAATGTCTAAAAAGAGGCAAGTTTACATTAAATCAAGGTAAGATTACAAATCTTGAGCAACTGATGTCATATCAGATAGGGCTGTTCTGTGTATTGCAGATATACTTCAGTGCACTGTATACAAAACGTTTAAACTCATCAATGGTTGATGCAAATTTTATGATTATGCAAGCTGTATGCAGTCAACTTCTCTTCCTTATCCTTAAAATGGAAGATGAACAGTGTCCTCTGAATAAATGGAATTTGTATGTGATTCTTGTAACTTAGCCATGACAAAACACTGGATTCAGAAAAACATCTGCTTCTCTGACACAACTTTGTCATCTCTATTACAATCTATGGTTACTTTTTTCACACTCTACTTTCTCCATATAATTTCCATACTCATTAAAACTAAAACAAAAGTGGGATAAAAAAAATCTGATTATTTTTTCTTTATTTTATCGGGAAAAAAAAGACAGTGAGTCCTGAATATTTTTTTCATATCTAGCTAAGTTTTTATGTGTGATTAGCCTTGAAATTGAGTTTCAATAGCACTAGTATAGTACTAGCAGCTTGTATTCTTCATATTTTTATTTCGACAGTGTTACTTCTTTCCAGATAGTGCTTTTCGCCTCAGGCATCCTGTTCTGGATAGCCAGTCAGTTTCAGAAATCTTCTCTATGAAATATGAGGGGGTACTTCACAGCAATACACTAAATAAAAGTGTATCTAGTTTAGGACAGGTGCGATTCCACCTCCAGTAAGGGATAAAGAAGGCTATTCTACAAATTTTGTCTGAATTTAGCAAGCCTGGGGTTTCCCCAAGGAAGAAAAACATCTTGTAGCATGGGTTGAAGTTTCAATAGACTCCTGCATATCTGGTGCCAGACATTCTGCCTTTGTGATGTAAATACTGATGGAACCTGACGATTTAAATGGCAGATGACTCAGTATAGGGACTTTGAGATTAAACCGATCATGTTCTGAGTTAAGTTTCTGCAGAGAAATGACTATTTTGGAGGAGTTTCAGCAAGAATACATACTGAAGGGAGCCCAAAATAGTTCTCGATAGGATACCTCATTCATTTGTCCTGTTTGGTGCTAAACTTTATCACTCTGTCTGAAAATAATAACCATTTGCGTACTCTAAAATATGTTCCCAATTTGTAGCAATAGAGAACAGTAGGATGGGAGTTCAGCAGCCAAGGGACAATTTTCTTAGTTAATATTAAACAGAACTGAATGATATAAGATAGAGATAGAAAAGACTTATTAGAGCATATAATTCCTTTCTTTGCATTCAGCTACTGCCAGTTGATTTCCACAGTACATTTTCAACAGTTCAT